CAAGCGGACCTGACCTAGGGTGGATTTTACATTGGGTTTTAAATATTCGGAAGACGCAACATTAAAATTCGGTTTAATTCGGTTTTAAGGGGGGGATTGTATATATGTTCTGGTTTTAAATATGTTGTGCGCCGCCCTGAGTCCCTGTCGGGAGAAGGGCGGCATATAAATTAAATTAAATAAATAAATAAATAAATACATAATGAGAGAGAGATACACAGAGAGAGAGATACACACACAGAGAGATATATACTATAGAAAAAGTGGGATATACATCTAAATAAAAATATATATGTGTGAAACAATGAGTATTGACCTGAGTGATCTTGCAGCAACAGTTTTCCTGAAGCACTGTTTATTTTCAGCAGTCAAAGAGAAATAGAAGAACATGTCATTACTAGTAGAGTCAGCATGCACTTTAAACAAAATATGAATCCAATGAGTAATGAATAAAAAAATTAGCATGTTGCTAATATTAGAAGAATACTAACTTATCAAAAAAGGATTCTTTCCTCAAGGCAAATGAGAGAAAGGGAAAGAACCATTTCTAGATATACAGTACAGTTTTTCTACTAAACATCACTTACAGCAATAGAAAATCTCTGTATACTGTCTTTTTCACAATCATCAATCACTTTTTGTAATCGGTAATTGTCATGAGATTCTCCATCAGTCACAACTACCATGACTTTTTGTACCCCTGGGCGGGCCCCATGAGCTTCTGTAAATGCTTCATTCCTAAAACAAGAATGAAAACCTGTAAATCTGCAAACTGCAGACAAGGACAAAACATAAATACCAAAATCAGTAAGAAAAATAAATAAATGGCATGGTGGTTGATTCTATAGGCCTTTGGTTTGAATTTTCAGGGCTCCCATTATATTCTTAAAATCAAGTTGTACATGGGCAAGTCTGTGGAAGATCAGCATAATTCTTTATGTAGGTTGATACTTATTTATAAGGCTGTAGGCACCTACCTTGCTGTTTCAATGCCAAGAGCTGTCATGGTCTCGAATCCTTCTCTCTGTTTAATTTTGCCTGCTGCTACAAGCACTTCTTCTGTGGTTGAATATGTGTTGAGATAAAATTCATGGGTTACATTTTCTCCATATTGAACGATCCCAACCTAGAATTACAAAATCTTCTGCTCAGGAAATCTTCACAATGATGCCATAACTCACAAGACAGCAACTGAAGAATTTACCTTTCAGTTAAAGACAGAAGACCACCCACACTATTAAGAGTTTTTTTTATATATGGTAAACCAGAAATGTGGTCTACTAAAAATAAGCATTAGACTGTTGGACAGAGTTCAGTAACACAGACTTGATTCTTCTTGCCACTTGAAGCATCTAAACAGAGCACATGAAGTCTTATCTCACTCTTTTGCAGACTTGGAGTCAGTCTGTTTCACCATGTTCCATTCAGCTTGTATCTTATTGTCTTTGTACAGGTTTCTGAGAACATGAAACCTATAAACAATAAGAACTTCTGGGATTCTCATTTTCTTCAGAATATTTCACAGCTAAAATCAATCAAGTCACTTGAAGGTCTTTTCAGAACCAATGAAGCACATGTTGATGGCTTTCTCAGTTATCTAATGGCATTAACAATAATGTATGTTGCTCAATCTTTTCTAAAGCCTAAACATCTATTATTTCTATGTAGAACTCTAATCTGAATTGGATGATTATTTTGTTAATGTGTGAAATTAGACTGCATACTCTGTTAAATTTCCTTCCTTTGATATTAGTATGTAGATACCTTCACTATATTGGCTATTCTACAGAATTGTTGCATAGCTTGGTTGGATCTTCTACTGATTCTTCCTCTGTAAATGTTCTTCACATCCTATAGCCTTCCAACATATTAACGACATAGTGAGTTCTTCTATTTCTTAGTTTGGCAGTCTCTTTCCACACCCAACTTTAACAATATGATTGATTTCATTATACAGTTCCTCTGATTTTCCATCAATGAGTTCGGAACTTCAAAGTGATTCCTGATGTTTTCCTTGAAAATGATGGAAATCAAAATAATCAAAACTATATTGTAGAAATCTGTTGGCTTTTTATTTCACTTCAGGTTGACCTGCAGTTTGCACATGATCTGTTGCATAGCTGGTCCCGAATATATTTCCTGTTACAATTGAGTTGTTCTACCACTTTGTAGTAATAATATAGTCAGTTTGATTTTTGAGTACTCCCTTTATATAGGCATCACAGTTTCTTTAGGCAATGGCAAACAGGTGGATTCCTGTAATTGCTAATCAATTCACTTTATAAAAGAAAGGTGATATGTAACAAAATAATAGTGTTTTTCCCCAAATACCCCTTTCTTCATTTTCAGCTGCTTAATTTTATGAGAGGTTCTGATCTAAATATGAGCTTCGCAATGTTCCACTAGTATATTTTAAATGTATGCTCTGCATAGATATTTTGAATATGCTGCCTAGTCCAGCCATTGAATGCTAATATACTCTGTCTTGGCATGTTTACCTCTTATTCATCCATCATTACAACTCTCACTCTCTTAAAAGACTGAACATTAATACAACCTATCCAGACATATACTTTTATAGCTGGATCAGTTTACATTCTAGCTTTTAGTTTTCAGATGTGCTTCTCAATCTGTTTTATAGCTCATCCCTTTTAGTACAAACATCTTTGTTTACTGGCTGTCTTTGATGCAATTAAACTGAAGAATGTAAGGGTCATTAAGAGTCAGGAAACTGATTAAGACCTGGCTTTTCCACAAAGCTTTTGGAGACTGAGATGCTTATATGTGAACTATTAAAATATTTCTCCTAAGTTGGGAAGGAGGTTGTTCTGTGTCATAAGGGATGTGAATATTAGTAAAATTCTATCAGTCTATTTTCTACCAGTCCAGGGTGTATTTTTC